CCCCAAAGATTTATATAAAGCATGTAAAGTTGTGGAAGATTAGAAAAAGTTCACAGTTATTTGATACTAGAAGAACCTCATACATGTGTATTGTTAGTTTTAATGTAAAGCTCCACAACGGGCTATCTGCGATGTCCTCTGCAGGGATCGAATTCAGAATTCTAATATTGTAAGCTTTCAAACATACCATTAATCCAATGGAGAACTAATGTGTAAGTATTCAAAAGCGATTTCGACAGTAGGTCAGTGGTAAGTCTACGGACTTACAACGCTGAAATCCGGGGTTCAATTCTCCATAGTGGACAGAGCGCAGATAAGCTATAGTATGGTTTTACGCTAAAACATAAATAAATTTCATAAATTTATGATGAAAAACGAAAGAAGACTTCATTGAGTACGTTGTATGACAGAGATTCATATCAGGTATACAGATAACATCATACTCAACTGTGAGGTATATCCATTCTGTATCCGTATTATGTAATCACACTAAGCATGTATATTCAGTTATAAATGTAAAAGCCGTATATAAAAATTTGTTTTACTATATTTCCATTTCATTTAATGTTGAGGGATATATCATTTGAAAATTACCATTGTAATGATGTTTCAAAAAAAAATCCAGTTAAACCATTGAGGAATTATTTCACTAAAATAGAATTATTTTATTCATCTAGATTAAAGCAGCTAATGTTTCTCTTGTTATCTTTTATTCACTCTCTTTCAGGCTCTAAATGAATATAGCTGCCGACTTGTCAACCAGTCGCGTAGACCGTCATTTATGCCTTGTAATGTTTGATCTCGACACCGAGAATTTTGGTTATGCCAAATATATTTCTCAAACTGAGATGCGCACAGATAATTATAAAACGTGTCACGCGCGCACGATAGCAAGTCTTGGAATAATTTCCGTTATTGAATTCCTGCACCGAAGCTGAAAATTTTTTACGAAAAGTTCTGATTTACATTGTCATTAGCAATTTGTAAATAATTTACTTTTCTATGTAAAACATAATATCAACTTGTCTTGATATATATTAGATCATCCATTATATTTCGCACTTTGATTTAAAGTAATATATTCTAAACATCTTAATATCTGTATATATATATGTATATAAATATAATTGTAAATTACGAATACCGAGTAACAAACTGATTATGTTTTTGTATGAGTTTCTACGTTGATATATACATATGTTTGTGTGTGCATTATCGCATTGAATCAAAGGTAACTTTTTATTATTTTGTTATTGTCAGGCTATTCAGTTGAAGTTTTTCATTTTTTAACTTGTATGACATTTAGGTAAAATCTCAAGATCGGGCATTATTACAGCTTCTCAGATATAAAATGGAATAGGCCCACTTAAGTCTTATTCCGATAGCATCGTTAATTTTCAATTCAAGAACAAATACTGTAATTCTTTTGTAATTGCTTTTTTATTTCATATTTACAATACTATTCATTATCTTCGACTAAATCGATATGAACAACTAACGTAAATATAATACAATTTGAATTAAGCCTCAGCTTCTAAAAGAACTGATTTTATTGTTTTCGTTACTTTCCAATTCCCTCTGTTCGTGTAACAGCTACTACGTCAAAAAGTCCTAATTCAGTATTGGAAAAAATTATTGATCATCCAGACATTATACAAGTATTATAGTTTGTTTGTTTTGTTTGAAGTTAAGCACAAAGCTACACAATGGGCTATTTGTGCTCACCCCACCACGGGTATCGAAACCCAACTCGGTTTCTAGCGTTGTAAGACCGCAGACAAAGTATTATAGAACTTATTTCTTATGTTTTAAGAAATGCAATTTTTACACCTGTAATTAGTAAGGTACATTACATTTTTGGTAAGAGACATCAAATCTGATGGTGTGAATATCTGCAAAAATATTGAATATCAGTGATGATCGAATGGAAGGTAAGGTATGAGTATCTTCCTTTTATTCCTTCGAAATAAAATTTTTTTCGAGAATATAATTTATCATTTTAAATAGAATAACGAATGCAATTATTTAAAGAGTCATATTCATATTGAAATTATTTTGTTAAAGCTTTCTTGTAGATCGCTAAACATAAGATGGAGTAATATATACATATGTAGAAAAGTAAATTCAAGAACAACTGAACATAATGTATTTGAGTAAGGAAGCACATTAAGGTAATATGATAATAGGTAGGCAAACAACGATTTATAAGCACAAGGAAAAGTTTTATTGATGGTGGAACATACTACATGTTTCGACAGAACATTGGTCTGTCTACTTCAGGTATGATTGGTATCGCATCGCATATCCTTGGCAATTATTTTGTTATAAAATCTCTCAAGCCATGAAGGAGCTTCAAAGATAACCAGGGGCGATCAAAACTTTAGTTTCTCTTCACCCCGTTTTTTTTTAGGCAAAAGAAAGTATTTAATAAAACTAGTGTAACTATTTAGTTACACGTGTAAAACAATGACACTTAATTTGACCACACATCTTTACTTTTTCCACTGACGAAATACTAAATATGGAAAACGAGAAGAGAACAAGGAACATGACAGTGCCAGTGATATTGCCTGGGATAGATAAACAGAGATTCAAAGTGAAATAAAGCTGTACTGTTAAAAATGCATTAAAATCATGGAATTATTTCAATGGTATTAAATATAGCTTACTTAAATCAAAGTTAAATGAACAACAATATAATATAATAAATAATATATATTTTCATGTTAGACTCTAAAAATTATAATTAAACAGCATTGGACATTGTTCAAATGAAAAACATCACAATCAAAAATGTTGTTTAACACTGGAACTCGTATAATTGTCCCGTTCTCTTACTATAACTGACGTAGCGTGTATGTCAATATCTATGTATGTAACCACAACTCTTGCGCCATCTATTGAATGGCATCACAAACACAAATCCATAAAAAATATCATACTTTGGGTATACAAAATTCAGATAATTAGAGAAATAACTGTGGTATGTGCAACGACCATTTGTTTATAATAGAAAACAATTTTAAATAAAAGTTCTCTCCTCACAACAAGAACACGACCTTCACTAGGACTGGACGTGAGGGTTTGATTATATCTTTATTTGATGTAATTTTTAAACGTAGTACTGTGAAACTGGAGTTCTTAAAAAAACTATTATTTTTTCAATGAACGGTACTACTTTTAATATATATAAAAAACGGTACAGTTTATTTAAGTAAAATTTATGAAAATCTTAAGCTCTGTACATTGAAACATTTTAATGCAATGAGTTACATATGACTAAAGAGCACAATCCTAACACTTTACCCGTGCAGTACTTCCCAGAAACAAAATCTTTTTTTTTAGAAACTGTCCCCTTTTTCTAATTTATTTTTTTTCAATGAGGTATGAATATTACGATTAGTATTTACTAACACAAACAGTCACCCGTTTCTGCTTGTACATAAGAATGGAATTAAAAAAGTTTTAAACATTTAAGGCGCTTGATATTTTTTTTAATGAGACTTATACTTTTTGAGCAATCTTTTACAGACTTAGGTTTCTGTATTTCTTCCTCGGAACCTTTTGAAAGTTGTGAGTCTTCTAACAGAACGTACTCTACAAGATCTTTGTGACTTAAGGGTCAAATCGGTCAAGATATTTTGCTTGTCTGACCCCTCTCTTAGTTGAACATCACTAATTGATGTCTTAGGCTTTTGATGATCGACATCGTCTGTCTCTACATTCACAGTGGCTGTTCCCTCGCCTGCTGGCGATTCACCAGGCTCTTGAAGATGGTATTTCACCGCTCCCAACAGAATTGACGATTCCTTGCCAAACATCTCGACAAATATAATCAACTTAGCTATTACTGATGGTTTCTACTGTATCTTTACAAATGGATGAAATAGTTTTAACGTTACACATCCGAAATTAGTAACCTTCACCACATATCAAACAACCTTTTTCACAGTGCGCCGACTCATGCCCATCGTTGCCGCAACGGTTACAGAAAATAGCCGTGCAGTTAAGAGCTAAATGCTTTTTTCCATAACTGGGTAATTAATGATTACCCGGAACTGTGATACATTAACAAAACTCGGTACTGGGAGAATCATGTCAATCTTCAGTAGACGCGCATCCGTACAAATACTCGTACCAGGATAGGTCTCTCTAACCGTGGCCAATACTTTTCCATATTCTTGGAAAGTCGTATTCAAATACTCATTAGGAAGGTTCCTTACGTGGATCCACCTCATGTTAGAACCAGCTGGTGTGAACGGGCAAACTTTGTTAGTACATGCTGCTTACGAAAACATACAGCATAGTTTTCCAGGCTCTAAAGGTTGGAGACATCCAACAGATCCAGCACCAATCTGTTCATGTAAAGCAAACTCGCGAAAGTTAGCTGCACTATATAATGGAGAATGAAATTTTTTGGGCTAAAGGCCGAAGTTTTTAAACACTGAAAATAGATCTAGGTTGCATTAATATGGGTGAGTGATTTTGTATCATGTGTGAGCTTTGAATCGAGGTAACGGAAAAAAAGACAGAAAATTACACAAACAGGTAAAAAAAGTATTTTGGAAAACACTATGAATGACAGTTAAGTCAAGCTTAAGCCAATTATTGAAACCATGTAAACCAACTGAGTTAATAATTAAACTGTTATTAATACAGTTTTCTAATAAATGGCTTCCCCTTATAGGCTTCCCATTATTGTTCAACACTTGCTATTAAACCCTATAGATTCCCATGTCATTTGCATCATCCCTACATAATAGCACAGGCGATAATTAACATATAGCAATATACATAACTATTCAATCACAATTTAGTTTAATTTATCCTATTTTCGTCTGGTGCCTGTACTATTATGTAGGAATGATGCAAACGCCATCCCTACTATCTTGTTTGCATTGTTTTTGAAGGATTGATATTAG